CCCCCCCCCCCTCCTGTCACTGGGACTGTGTGAATTTTACAGGCTCTTTTGCCCCATCACCATAAACCATGGTATTTTTCACCCTCTCTGAACTGTTATACCATCACATTGGTGTTATGAAGATGGTGTTTGTGCACCGGGTGAAGTGATTTTTGTTGAAATAATGAGATGGTGGAGGGCCACTGATCTAATCAGAGCTGTTTGTGTGTGTTTGTCATTCTGCAGCTGGACACAGAGGCCAGTGACATCCTGAACGATCTCCAGGTCAAGCTGAACAACGTCTTGGACGAGCTGAGCAGCACCTTTGGAAACACGTCAGTGTTTAGAGATCATATACATATGGGTTAATCGCAGAAAAATGTAGATTATAAAACCAAAACAAAACATTAAGAAATTATATTTTGCATAAAGGAAATTAAGCCTTCTTATTTAGGAACATTTAGATTTTTACATTCTTTTCTGATATTTCTTTCAAGCACATTTCCCTGATTTCTCTTTTCTCCAAAGTGTCGAGACTTTTACTTTATTTTTTATTTTTTTAAATTATTCATAGTTTTAAATTTTATAGCACTATTTTTTACTGCATTTTTAAAGCATAAATTCTGCATAATTATTAATTTCTGAATTTATGCTTTAAAAATGCAGTAAAAAATTTGGTGTATAATTGTCCATATTTCTTGTGCTGTCTTTAATTTATACTAAATATATTAAATTAATATTAATTTAATATATTCAGAATAAATCAAAGGCAACACAAAAATACTGGCAATATTTACAATTTACAATATTTCAATATTTGTGATGTTTACAGAAAATACTTCGCACCATTTTTTTTTTGCATTATATTAATGATAATTGGGAACATCTGCTTAATGAAAATATTATTTGCGTTTGCATTGTTATTTGCATTATTCCCGGTGATGATTCTCATTACTGTAAAAAAGTGTTTTTATTGTGTAAAGAAAAAAAACATACTGATATAAATACTAAAGAAATGAATAAGTATAATATAATACATTTATTATTATTATTATTATTAATTTTTACATTATAGATACGAGAATCAGAGAGGATGCTTAGTTGAAATGAAAACAAACACTATGTAGAAATCTCACTTAGACAAATAGGCTTTATTTTCTTTATACAAATGATAATTTCTTGACAGGTTTCATTAGACTTGCCCGCTCATGATTTTAAACACTTCCAGTTTTGCAAATAACGGCACTCAGTTAAACATATGTACAGTGGTTCATCATTATACCTTTAATTTATACTAAATATATTAAATTAATATTAATATTTATTTTCTTTATACAAATGATAATTTCTTGACAGGTTTCATTAGACTTGCCCGCTCATGATTTTAAACACTTCCAGTTTTGCAAATAACGGCACTCAGTTAAACATATGTACAGTGGTTCATCATTATATACTGTAGCTTTGGTGCTCTTGAAATGAATGTAGTTTTTAGTCTGGCCTGCATCATATCTCAAGATTTCTCTGTTGAGTAAAGATTAAAATCTCTTATATTAATCTAAAAGGAAAAAATGACATTCATTTCACACTTTTGCACAACCCCTCTTATGTCAGTCTAGCATGTTCCTTCTTCATGCTGAACTCTGATGTTCCTCTGTAGTTTCCAGAGCCGCATTGATGACTGCATGCGTCAGATGGCCAGTCTGCTGTACCAGATCAAAGGTCCAGTGAACGCCAACACCCGTAACCAGGTGGAGGCCGACTCTGATAACATGCTGCGGCCACTGATGGACTTCCTGGATGCAAAGTGAGCAAAACTCTCCTCACCTGTACAGAAACCATTATTACTGTACCTGAAGCCTGTCCTGATCTCTCTGTGTGTGTGTGTGTTTGCGAGCAGTCTGATGCTGTTTGCCTCAGTGTGTGAGAAAACCGTGCTGAAGAGAGTGCTGAAGGAGCTGTGGAGGATTGTGATGAACAGTCTCGAGAAGACCATCATCCTTCCTCAGGGCAATGACACCTTTGTAAGACCTGTATGACTAGATACTAAATACATTGTCTTTTTTTTTTTTCAGATAAAACTGCTTAAAATGCTTTTACATTGTATTATTTGGTTTCTAAAAAAAAATGTTATTTGGCCCCTAAAGGCTTCATTTTAAAAGCCAGTAAATTTTTTGCCTGTAACCTTTTGAATGTTTCCTGTAAGAAATACATCAAGTATTTGAACATGTGTTGTAATTAATCATCTAATGTTTATGTGTAAACATGTAAAATCTTTGTTTTGTAACGCTATAACGCTTTTATCTCTTCCTGGCAGGGAATGATCTTTTCAGCGGCTAAAGAACTGGGTCAGCTCTCCAAACTCAAGGTAGCTCTCCAGGCTTGTTTAATCCAGACTGTGATCTCTTTAAACCAGCTCAGAGCTCAGCAAGAGAGTACAGATGAAGAGCCTCAATATAAATGCTTTCGACATGTTTCTGTAACCTCAACACGTGCTTAATATTGTGTGCTTGAGTGTGTAAACAGAATATCCCATCAAACCTTTTCTGTAAATCTCTGATATTGCTGCACTGCACACCATTCCACTGTTAAAAGGAAAAAATAGAGTTTATTGTAATGGGAAGAAAACTTGCTGTTACTTTCAGAACTCAAAACTTCCATCCAGCCGATTACATTTCTTTTTCATTTAAAAATATTTGGATTTTTATGGATGACTATTTTAGAATTTGATTTTTTTTTTGACAAAAGTAGATTTTTTTCCCCTGTAATTTTTAGCTGTATTTCTTGAATTTCTGATTTAAATGACCAAATAGTGACTTTATATTTTGACAATTGCAACTTTATTTTCCCGTGACGGCAACTTTATTTTTCATAATTGTGACTTTTTTCCTTTTAATTGTGACTTTCTTCTTGAAACTGTGATTTTAGATGCAATAACGTGAGTTTACATCACATGCAACCTCATTTCTTAATTCTTATTTAAACAATCTCTTTAGGTTACCCAATTTCTTTTATTTATTTTTTTTACTCTGAAGTGGAAACAAGTTTCCATGGGTTACTAGTGTCAGAAATCCAGAAACATTAACACATCATCGCTTATATTTACAAGTCAATGACATCTGTTCAGTGTCCAGACCCATTGATTTTTATTTGTGTTAGAGGTCATTTTGTCGATTTTGTGGGGTTTTAATGTTATTTGGCTCTGCAGGATCACATGTCTGGTGAAGCTAAAAGCTTGACTCCCAAGCAGTGTGCGGTCATGGACGTGGCCCTTGAAACCATAAAGGTATAAATGATATTATCTTTAAAAGCACCAATAGATTTCCATGTTGTTTGAAAAGCAGTGGTTTGTACAGAATTAATATTTGATGAATCGCTATCCTCTGCAGCAATACTTCCACGCTGGAGGAAATGGTTTGAAGAAGGCCTTCCTGGAGAAGAGTCCTGAACTGTCCTCGCTGAGACACGCGCTGTCCCTCTATACCCAGACCACCGACACGCTCATCAAGACGTTTGTAACTACTCAGCATGCTCAAGGTGAACACACACACATCTAGTGACACATCCACACTATTTTATACATATGACACACTTGATAACATCAATATTAAGGAATAGTATGACAATTTAATCATTATTTACTACTTATGTTGTTCTAAACCTGTATGACTTTCTTTCTTTTGTGAAACAAAGACTTTTTCTTCCATATAATTTCGCATTTCCTATTCTAATTTCTTTAGTTCATATTGTTTGATCTCCTAGAGATGAGTTTGTAAAACAATACACTAGGTGTCAGTATTGAGCTGTGGATTGATTTGTGTAGTTATTGTACTGGAATTTGAGCTCTTCTTTAAGCTTTATCCGTCTCTTACTGCTTAATGTGTCTACTGTCCATGTTTCTCTGCTGTTGTTGTTACTGTTCTGTCTTGTTTTTAATGTGTTGCTTTTGAACTCTTCCAATGCTATTCTGCTTCTGTCTCTGCCTTAAGTGCATAATGTGAAGGGTATGAGGATAACACCTAGTGAGAAAATACAGCCATCCAGGGGTAGGTCACCACAGACTCCACGAGACCCAAAAACCCTCTCACAAATAATCACAGTCCCCTTCTCCAGATCCGTTCCTAAATGTGTTTTGGGTGTATTTGTGCTCTAGTGTGATGAATCTCACAATCTCCACGCCATATTTTTATCCAAACTTAAAATAAAGAAATGCTATTTTAAGAAAACCAAGCCTAAGACCCCATGAAATGGCTTAATTATTTTTTCCCCTGTATTGATGCATTTCCAGGATTTTGGGACACAACATTATTTAAATAGTCAGTAGTCTGAAATGGCGGTGAGCCCTGGTTTGTTACTTGCTGTTGTTAATCAGAGGCAGGTTTGTTTTAGTGGTAGTATTTTCATCCTAGAGAGCATTTGATTGGATGAAAATTTGGACACGCCCATAAGTGCATAATGACTCCTCAATATGTCTGTTTTCTTCGAAAATACAAGTTGTAAATTAATATTTGCAGTATTCTATAGATGACCTCAGTGCTAACATGGATTAAAAGCCACAAAAATCAAATGTTTTACTTCACGGGGTCACATTTTTTCACCCAGTTGGCTCCCACTGTAAATTAGGCCGTGTATATTGTCATTGTTATCACTTCCTTTTTCTGTAAATATGGACACAGGACTAGCTGGTACATCTTTTTCTAATGCTTAATTTTTTCTTAAAAGTTACTCCATGCATGTGAGGCCTGTGTTTTACTGTGTGTGTGTACTAAGTGTAAATATGTGTACCATATTTTAGAGACAGATTTGTACTCAAAAGTGAGCTTAACCTGTCCTCCTTTAGGGGACATTAAAGGACGTCACCATTTGTAAAAACAAGATAAAAAGATTTTTTTATTATCATTATTGTAAAAATGCAGCAAGAGTTAAGGTTAGGTTATAGTATTTATAACAAGCTCAGTATAAAAACAACAGTAGTCTGTCTATTTATCTAATGTCACCATTTAGATAAATATGTAAATATGTGTGTGTGTGTTTGTAGGCTCAGGGGTTGATAAACCAGTAGGGGAAGTATCCATACAGATCGATCTCTTCACTCACCCAGGCACAGGAGAGCATAAAGTTACAGTTAAAGGTAAGTCTAATTGTATTTTTTACCATGTTTAAGCGAGCTTTATCTGTGTATTGTCTGATGGCTGAATCACATTTCTTTATTTCTAGTTGTGGCTGCTAATGATCTGAAGTGGCAGACATCTGGGATGTTCCGACCGTTTGTGGAGGTCACCATGATCGGCCCTCATCTCAGCGACAAGAAGCGCAAGTTCACTACCAAATCGAAGAACAACAGCTGGGCGCCCAAATTCAACGAGACCTTCCATTTGTGAGTGCAAAACCTAGTCATTCACGACTAATCAGATTAACGAATAACAGTAGATTAAACAATGATGTGTGAGGGATCAAGTAAGACTACAAAACAGACGGCTCTCTCTGTTTCACAATTTTTGAAAGAGAGAACATGATCATTGTACACATAATATTGCCAAAGCATCAATACAAATAAAACATTTGAAGGCTAAAAAAGGATAGATGGATGGATGGATTGATAGATGATATATGGTCTGTATGAGTCAGAATTTGAATATGCATTATTACTGCATCTCTGCATTCAAGATGTTTAAAGAGCAATGAGAAAATTACTACTAGCGAATAGTACTTAAACCACCGCTCTCTCTCTCTCTGTGTGTGTGTGTGTGTGTGTGTGCAGTATTCTTGGGAACGAGGATGGGCCGGAGTGTTATGAGCTTCAGGTGTGTGTGAAGGACTACTGCTTCGGCCGCGCAGACCGTGTGGTCGGTATCGCCGTCATACAGTTGTGTGATGTCGCGCCGAGGGCCAGCTGCGCCTGCTGGTGTCCACTGGGCCCACGGATACACACCGATGACACGGGCCTCACCGTCATGCGCATCCTCTCCCAGCGCTCGGGTGACGAGGTGGCCAAAGAGTTTGTGAAACTGAAGTCTGAGACCCGATCGGCCGAGGAGGGGAGGTGAGGACGTTCCTTCACAGCAGAAGACAGTCTGAGACTCTTAAGTGCTGGAGGGACATCAGCACTGTCACCTTTTTGTGTCCACATCAATGTTTTTGCTGCCCACTGAAACCCGCTGAGAAGGGCTTTCAGCAGCACAAGAGAGGCCATGTGACAAGTTTTATAAAGAGCATTGTTAGTTTAGCAGTGGATGAGGGGGGAGTCATCCACATAAACAGATTGAACACAATATTTTTTCCATATATTGATATAAAAAACACACTCACACATTCAGCCACTAACAAACTAGCAAATGACTAGTTGAGGTAGACACCATGTTTTATTTGACGTGAATGAAACGAGACTGTGAAGGATAGACATGCACTTTGACCTGACATAGACATAACTTTGACCCTGAAATTTTTTTTATGAATTGCCTCATATTAAATTTAATAATCATTGCAAAAAATAAGACCAGACATGTCTATCCCTTACAAACTTGTTTGCAAGAAGAAAAAAAATGGTGTCAATCCCTGACTTGAGGTTCTTTGACCTCCGACCAGTAGATGGCACTGTGAGTGTGCTGGGTCATTATTTTGGAAGCGTCTGTTGTAGAATACACAGATTCCACATCCGTTCGTGCACTTTTTCTCTGTAAACACCCCTTTTGCCATGTGTTTATTGCCTTATTTTTTGATGCTGTGAATGTGTCAAGTTGAAATGTAATGATTATGATTGTTATGAATGTTGTGACTCCTGAGACAGTGTTTGTGTCCTGGGGGCCAGGTCTCATTCACTCAGTGTTGTGGAGTGATTTGTTGCATGATTGAATCAGAAAAAATGACCATTCATTTCAAAAGCCAACGTACTTCAGCCATCATCTGTGACCAGTAGGTGGCAGCAATAATCTCGTTCACATTTACACCTGCTTCATCACCCACACCAAGACAATGCAGCATCATCGGACAGTATTGAAGCTAAAATGTTTGAATGCTTTAATGGGGTGTCATGTAATATTTTTCAATATTTTATGTAGTGGAAAAGCGCTGAAAAATCAGCATCAGCTGGGGAGAGAAAATATGAACGTTAACAAATCAAGCTCAAATATGATAACTGATCAATTAAAGATGAGTAGATGTTTGTTTGTTTTTTCATTTCAAAGCGGCCTTATATTATTTGTTCTGATATTTTCTATTTAAATGATTTTAACTTTTTTTTTTTTTTCCTTTTAAGTAAAAATGATTCTTTTTTTCTGAGAAGTCTTGTTGTTACTCCATTTCTTCGTTTTAAATGGCTGATTTATTTTCTTTAATTGTTCTTTTTGAGGAATTTTATACTGTGTTGTGCTTTGTTTTTCCAGAAACAACTGCAAAAACAAAGAGGAAAAAGACAGTAACACTACCATTTTTCCCATCATTTGTTGCCTGTGCAAAAGCCTCACCTTGTTAATTCAAATTTCAATGTAAAAATATTGTATTTTTCACAAAACGCTGCCAATATGTAAAATGTATGTTGATATTGCCAATTATCGTGACTGTTGAACCTGTTATTTATTTCTGTACATTTCTCACTTCTAACTCTGTCACTTTATAAACTGTTACCGTTAATTAGGCCGGCAGTGTTTGGACTGTATTTTAGGGAATTGTCACTCTTTGTAATATACACATTCCTCGTGCCAACTTGTGAAAGTTCTCACTTTTTTTAAAACTCTTGTAACAGTACTGACAATGAATACTGGCATGTATGGACTTTACTCAGTTTTACTGAGTTTACTCACATTTTTGAAGTTATATTGGTGTTGTACACAGTCACTGACAAGGAAAAATTTATTAAAATGTTTGTGTGCACACTCCAACAAATGAATTTATACATAAAGTCTCTTAAACTAATGTTTTAAGCTGGTTTGATTTGTTATTTTATGAGGAGTTTATTTGAATCATTATTCACTGAAACACTATATCACAAATACACTTTCGCTCTCAATTTTGATTTCAGTATGTGGAAGCACAATCAGAAGTACAGCAAAATTCATTGGGGAAAATTTTTTTTTATTTTTTTTCACACAGACCTACTGTATTACTTGAGAAGACTTTACATATAGCGCACAACCAATATGAACTACTTTCATGAGCTTTTATAGTGCTTTTTGTCCTTATTTTAGCATCTGCCCCCATTTACCTGCATTATATGGAAGAGAAAGAGCAGCATGAACATCCTGCTTAACTATCTTCTTTTGTGATGCACAGACCATACAGGTTAAAAACGTAATTAGGGTAAATGACACTGTTTTTATTTCTGGGTGAACTATTCCTTTCAGTGTCACACTACACAGGATAACGTCGTGGCCTAGTGGTTTGCACACATGCTTTGACACACTGAGCTAAGGTTCTCATGTGGGAAATTTGAGTTTTCAGTTTTCTGGCATGCAACATTTCCCGATTCTCTACCCTCTTGTTTGTTGTCTGTATCAATAAGAGATAATAAAACAGCCCTTTCCTGCAGCTGACGTGTGACATAGTACACCATAAACGTAAGCATGATCTGTGTAGTGTTTTGATAGCCTGCATAGAGATCTGTGTAATATCTCAGTTGTTTGTCCTACATAGCAATTAGATTGCATAGGAGAAATTTCTACTGAGCTTTGAACGAGCAACCTCTTGAGCAATAAAATTATTTTCCTCTGGGTATATCTGTCCAAATTTGAGCCGTACTCTTAAAAATTAAGCCTTTAACATCGAGGGAACCTTTCCAATCCACACAAGTTTCTTTAGAGTGGAAAAAGGTTCTTTAGACTTTTAAAATGTTCTTCACACTAAGTAAAAAAAAAAGACTTTACTAAAATATTCTTTGGATAACCCACAATAGTTCTATGGCATCGTTTTGAAGCCAAGTCTCTTTTGGAAACTTTATTTTTAAGAGTTTAAACTATTTAAATGAGGTTTAGACTGGAAGGATTTTACATTATACCAAATTTCGGCCAGTTTCCAGCGACTACGTCATTCCCTCATCCAACTGTTTTACCAGCTTCCCTCTTCCAGCCCAGCAGAGTCCAAAGATCATCTACTGTTTGCTTTCCGTCTGTCCCTAGACGTGCTATACTGTAAAATCCCTCTGTTTCCTTCAAGCTTACGCAGTAGTCCAATCACGAACCCCCTTCTTAGGCCACAACTGCAGCCGCTGGCTCCACCCAGCCCTGGAAACCTCTTCCTGACCTCAGGTTACACCCTTAACTTCCACCTGTACTCTAAGTAAGGGACCTCGCTTGCAGTTGCATTATGGGAACTGTAGTGACGTTCTGCATGTCCTTTTCCGCGCATGTTTATGGGGTGGTGGTTTAGTCTGAAACACTGCTGATTCTCTAGGGATTCTGGATGGCAGACGTGTGACTCAGGTATGACACCTTCAGCTGGTGCACTCTTCTTATTTAATACATGTTTAGAGAGCTTAAAAGGGGGAATGGTAGTCTTCTAAAGTTTTCCACTCCAGTTTTCCATTTTTTTCACTCTCAAAGTGAGTTACTTATTAACATTAGCTAGAGGCACTTGCACCTGTGATAAAGTACTTGGTAAAAAAAAAAAAATACTGAACATTATAAGTTGAGTATGTGACAAATAGCACATAACACCTGTATCAGTATAAACGTAGAGAGGAGTGTTTTTGAGAATGTCAAAAGCGAAGTGATAAGGCGACGGTCAGAGTTTTAAGGAGCGTGTTTAAGGGTGTGTGATCTTTCTTGTTGACTCTTGAATATAGATGGTGAAGGGTCGAGTGTTTTCCTCATGTTGAGGGGAAACTGGTCACTAGACCAACATTAGTTATGGTCATTGAACTTTCCTTGTCAATGTGGCACACGAGTCACACCGATAGATTATTACAGTTAGAGATGTTAGAGCTATAAAACAAAGATGAACAGGAACATAATGTACTGTAAAAAAACTGCTACGGTAAAAACCCGTTGGTTGGTTAAACCTAAGTTACTTATGTATAGTATAAGACTATACATGTGATTTCATGGAAAGTTTTTGTAATAATGTTTTTTATGTTTATATGTAAGTAAATATTATTTATTGCCTGGTCATTATTGACCTGGTATTATTTATTGCCTGGCGTGACCCATCAGAATTTTTTTTTTTTTTATCTACATTTTTGTTGTTAGCTATATGTTTTATGCTATTTTATGTTATTTCATGTATATAGCATTATTTCATTATTTTTAACATATTTCAAATGTAACACTGTGTTCATCATAGTATTTTTCATGATTGCTGGAAAAGCCTTTTTGAACTTACAGTAGTCATCACGTGGCATCATTGCATCATTATGGTGGTTATTATATTTCAAAATATTAGGGAAATGATTTTATCTTAATTCTGTTGGTTTACTAATATATCGTAAATTACACAGTCACCGCAATATCTTTCATCACTTTCAGCAATGCATGAAACATCATCACTTTACAATGTTCTGGCAACCATAGCTTCAAGATATTCAACAAAATATAATAATAATAATAATAATAATAATAATAATAAATTGATTAGATAATGCATTCGAAAAATCTACAGTATTCTGAGAACTTACATTTGAAAGGATGTTATGTTAAATTTATGTTGCTTGGAAATAATTGATTTCACTTTAAATGTTTAATTTTTGATACTTTATAGTGATTCTTTTAATGGCCGTAGGCGATGTGTTGACTTTTGAGCAATCCTGTTTGTTTAATGGATGGTTAATGATAATATTAGATTAGATAAAGAGTGAGATGAAGGAATGTGAGTGTGGTCTAATGTTCAGGGTTATGAGCGGCCATATACAACACTAATTTCTAATTGGGAAATAACTCATTTTAGATACAAAATAGCCTTTTTAGATACAGTATTTTGTTATGTATTAATTTTTTGTTTTATTTTTTTGACAAAAATACAATTATCTGGCCTCTAACAGCAATTCAAGGATTATTTATCCTTATTTAAGATCAAGCTGAATGTCTCTGTGTTATATGAACAAACGCTAACGGCTCTGAAAATGGCTGTCAGGTGAATAATCTGTGAGATCAGGAAGCACAGCTTCATGTGTATGGAGAAGGCCTGTATGTGTAAATACATGCGCCTCTCATCAATACCCTGCGCTGATAAGACCAGAGCTGTAAAATACACTGAACTTTCGGCCAGTTTATCATTAACCACAGCTAGACACTAACAGAAAGATATCATCATGCATTATGATCAGACTCTATCCAACCTGCAGTTTGTCTGATTTCAATGCTTTGTAGGAAGAGCTGTAACATAAACTGGCTACAACATCCCTAATTCTTCTGTAAGACTAATGAACCTATAGAAAACTCTATAGAATAGTATAAATATGGCCACATGGTATTTTCAGGGGATTCTTATTTTCACTTAAACAAGGTTTTTTTATCATATAAAACACACCATATGCCAACCATTAATGACAAATACTTCAATTTAATAAAAATGATTTGTAATATCTAGCATCCCCGTGACCCTACATAAGACAATTAAAAAAATGAAAGATAATTACACAATAGATTGGATACAGTTTGACCAGTCCTTATGATTATACAGCTCTTTAATGCAGAAGATTTTGAAATTATTTATGTGTAAAGTTTTGTAGTTTTCTTCATATTTAATGTTTTTTTAAATTTATTTTGGTTTCTCTTTCCCAGTATGATGATGTGATCCGAGAAACATGGGCTCCCTGCTGTCTGCGTGTAGAATTAACGTAAAGAAAAAGAAAGTAGAAGGTAACATACTGTAACTAAGTACACTGAACACACAGTTTGAAGCCTGAATTATAAAAATAACGTTCCCGTTTGTTTTCTTGTTTTTTAAATTTTCTAGTCTGTTTTTTTTCCCCTAGTAGTGTTTATTTATGTGGTGTTTTTATATTTTATTTCCTCAGAGGAGAGGCATTTGCGAGCTAATGACAGGGAATTCAATCTGTCGTTTAAGTATGCTGTGAGTAGGAAAATACTAATATATTTTTTAGTCAAAAAATTTTTGGGAGCATATTGTGAGTTTTTTTTTTTTCTTTTTTCATGTGTGCCCTTACAGAACAATGCCATCAAGACCTCCAAGTACAACGTCTTCACCTTCCTCCCTCTCAATCTGTTTGAGCAGTTTCAAAGACTGGCCAATGCCTACTTTGTCTTTCTTCTCATCTTACAGGTATCTTAACCTGTTGAATCCACCTCAATTAGATTACCACATTATTACAGCAGTTTAAAAGGTTGCTCTGAAATTACAAAAGCATATATGAGATTTATAGAGTAAGAAAAGTTCTAACAGGCTTCACCGTGTTTGTGTTGCACAGCTGATTCCTCAGATCTCGTCTCTGTCCTGGTTCACGACTGTAGTTCCGCTGCTGCTGGTGTTGTCTATGAACCTAGCCAAAGATCTCTCTGACGC